AAAAAAAAAAAAAAAAAAAAAAAGTCTCTTGTGAGGAGAGAGGTGCATTCCACGTGGAACCCATCAGTGCATAAGTGGCAGAGTCTGTGGGCAAGTCAGAACACAGGGGACTGAGAGATGCTCGTTGGCTTTGGAAATCTAGAAGGTGCCTTCCCTAATGGCAAGAACAAGAGTGGTGGGGCAGAATTCTGGGCCACAGGCAGAGCAGCAAATGAGAGGGCGGAGCAAGCGAGCAGCAAATGAGAGGGCAGAGCAAGTGAGCAGCACTCTGGGCCTGAGTTCTAGTGGGAAGGAACAGGAAGAGCCTGGAAGGGCAAAGGGAGCCCCACATGCCTACAGCCCAGGGTGGGAGACTGATGGGCCCAAGCAGGAGTTGGTGCCAACAAGCGGAGGAGCACCCCACCTCTGAGCCAGGAGGAGGAGAGGCCAGGAGCCAGGAGGATGTGAAGGTTGTGCACAGGAAGGAAAGGTCTTCAGCTGTCACTGAAGGAGATGGAGCCTTTGGATGGAGAGAGGGCAGGAGCCAAGAGGGAGCAGTCAAAATGGCAGCGGTTCCCAAGGGGAATGGGTTTCAAGAGGGCCAAGGCAGGGGATCTGGAAGCATCCCCTGGAGAGGAAGGAAGGGGGCTTTGGGGCAGGTGGGGACCTCTGCAGTGTGACTAAAGAACAGGGACCAGCCCCAGATCCCCAAGGGCTGGACTAGCCTTGGAGGGCGCAGCGACTCCCACCCACTTGTCCTAGCTCAGGTTGGATTTGCCAAACCACTGAGGACCTTGCTTACCAGGGGCACCAGGAAGGGACTCAGCATGGCGGCAGTGGTGACAGCGTAGTTGGTGTTGTCGGGCCCGATGACTGCCATCACCTTGGGGGAGTAGTGGGAAAGGTTTCCTTGGATCTCTATGTGGTACGTCCCCGGCAGGCAGAGCATGTTCAATGTGGCATAAAAGTTGGCTGACTCTGAGCACACATCATACAGCTCATACCCCAGGGTGACATTGGGCAGCAGGGCTGTGGAGTTGTTTATCTCCTCAATACCAAACCTCATGGCCTGGAAGAGGTGGTAGCCATGGCCATTGAAGCTATCAGGCCTGCAGGGAAAGCAGAGTGAGAGCTGAGAAGGTCAAGGTCCCTCTAAGAGCCTCCTAGCGTCCCAGGCTTGTGGGGTAGAAAACAACTCTGAGCCGGGAGGCTGAGGCAGGAGGATCATGATTTCAAAGCCAGCCTCAGCAAAAAAGTGAGGTACTAAGCAGCTCAGGGAGACCCTGCCTCTAAATAAAATACAAAATAGGGCTGGGGATGTGGCTCAGTGGTTGAGTGTCCCAGAGTTCAATCTCTAGAACAAAAAAGAAAGAAAGAAAACCTTTGAGGTCATCTGCCCAGGCCTGTACTGATATAACTTCAGTTCAGGATGGGTTGGCAGGCCTGAGGAGAGGCAGGGCTGGACTTACAGAATGTGGCCTGCCCCACCACCTTGGGTAAGCATGTGAGCATCTGAGGCCCAGAGTCCTGCAGCAGAGCAACCTGCTCTACTAGAGGTTCACTTTAAGGAACTTCTCTCATGATCATGGGGGATGGTGAGCCAGAAGTTTGTAGGGTAAGACACCAGGTTGGATATTCTGGCAAGAGCTGATAATGTAATCTTGGGTTCAAAGGCAGAATTCCCTTCTTTGCCAGGGGCTGGGGATATAGCCAAGACTCAGTCTCATAAGGTCTTCGACTGATTAAACGAGGTCCACCTACGGTTTGGAGGGTCGTCTGTCTCTTTTTATTTTCTTTTCCGTAGTGCGGATGGAACCCAGGGCCTTGCCCAGGCTAGGCAAGTGCTCTACCTCTGAGCTTCATCTCTCTCTCCTCCTTATTTTGAATTTTATTTTGAGATAAGGTCTTGCTAAATTGAATTTACAACCCCTACCTCAGTCTCCCAAGTAGCTGGGATTACAGGCATGTACTGAGTACACCATTCCTGGCRGTACTCAGTCTGTTGATTTAAAAGTTAATCACATCCAAAAAATATTCACAGCAACACCTGAACTAGTACAGGTTCMATGTGGCATAAAAGTTGGCTGACTCCGAGCACACATCAGACAACTCATACCCCAGKTTGACATTGGGCAGCAGGGCTGGACAAACGGACATGTAAAAATAACCACCACAGGGGCTGGGGTTGTGGCTCAGTGGTGGAGCGCTTGCTTTGTACATGTGAGGCACTGGGTTCAATCCTCAGCACCACATAAAAATAAACAGAATAAAGGTATTGTGTCCATCTACAAATACACACACACACACACACACACACACACATACACACATGCGTATATATAAATAACCAGTACACCGGCTTCACCTGGTTAACTAGTTAAATAGTGCTTCTCACTGGGACCTTAGGAAACTGCTGAGGGCCTGTGAGCCTCTGTGCCCCTACTCTGGGAACTGCTGTCACAACAGGGACAAGCTGAGGATGTGGTTGGTCCCTGATTGAAGGGCATGCTGGCCTGTGGTGCTCTCCAGCATCCTGACCTCCTAGAAGGTTCCCCCATCTTTCGCATCCCTTCTACTCCAAGTTCCTCAGAGGAGGCCCACTGTTTCCTGCACACAAACTCCTTCARTTACCTGAAGCCAGTTTCCTGGGGTCCTCCCCCAGCCTCTCTCCCAGCCTGGGCTTCTTTTCTTAGCTCCTGCCTGCAGGTTCTGATCTGGTCCACATTTCAGAACCTGCATCCTGGGCCAGCAATCAGGAGAGTTTCAAGTGCAAGCCTCCCGGAGACCAAAGGCATTCCCCAGGCTCCTGTGACAGTTCACAAGCAGCTGTCTCCTTTCACAGAGAAGTAGTAAGCATTCTCTACCTGGATGGCYGCCTGTGTGGGGCATCTGCCTCAGTCCTTTCTCCCTCGGGGAGAAAAGTCAGGAAACTTGAATGGACTCACTCTAACAGCAAGGACAAAGGAATCCATCACAAAATGGAAGCTGGCAGAAGCATTTGGAGGTGGCAACTGTGGAGGGAGGGACTGGGGGTGGGAGCTCAAGGAGTAGCCCAGAGGCCAGTAGAAGGGCCCTGCAGCCACAGGTCACACTAAGTGACAGCTCTGCTGGTCCCTCACTTACCTGTCACACAGGGTCACCTGGGGTCTGCGTCTCACCTGCAGACAGTCAGTATGGAGAGGGAATAGGCCTGCAAGGAGGAAATCCCCTGGGAGGCTGAAATCAGGGGAGAACCACGTCTTGTGGCAGCTGAARGCCCAGCAGCAGGCGATGGAGAGTTGCAAGCCTGCCAGGTGAGCCACCCATGGTGACATACTGGCCAGGTGCCCCTGTGCCCAGCATGGCAAGCAGCAGCGTCTGCCAAAGCCTGCCTTAAATAGAAGAGAGGGCAGTTGCCCAGGTACTTCACAAGTTGAGGCTCCTGAAAGGGGTGGGACTGGAGTCCAGTTGTAGAAGCTAGGGTGCTTCTTTTGGTTTTCCGGGCCTGTGGTCCCACTCAGGAACTGGGCAGGACCAGGGCATGGATGCAAACCAGGCAGCACCCAGTGACCCCTCCTCTGGACCATGTGGGTTTTGTCCTTGCTCKGGTGCCTGTGGCTTCACCTGGCTCTGAAAGGGAGCACTAGCATTTTGAGCACCAGGGAAGCTGGAACACAGTTTCTCTGAGTGCTGTGGGCTTCTATCAGTGAGTTGGGGGTTTTTGTTTTGTTTGGGGGTCCTGGGGATTGAACCCAGGGGCGCTTTACCACTGAGCTATATCCCCAGCTCTTTAATTTTTTTTTTCTTCTGAGACAAGGTATAGTTAAGTTGCTTAGGGCCTCACTAAGTTGCTGAGGCTGGCTTTGAACTCAACTCGTGATCCTCTGTCTCTGGGGCCCGTAGGATTACAGGGGTACTCCACCATGCTTGGCTGGAAACAGGGTCTTGCTGTGTTGTCTAGGCTGGGCTGTGACTCCTGGGCTCAGGTGATTCTCCTGCCTTAGCCTCGACAAAAACTGGAAGTACTGGTGTGCACCACTGAGCTGACAAGCAGCAGGCTTTAGAATCCTTTACCTGTGCCTCAGTCAACTGAGATATGGCTTTGAATTGACATGCCCATTCTCAGTTCCCAATTTTCTGACACTGACCGAATAGTTCAGCCTTGTTATCCAGGGTTGGTCCCTTCAGCCCAAAGACAAATACATGCAAACAAAAGGTATGCAAAAAGGCTGACTTTGTTTAAAATGCCAATCTTGGAGCTTTTTCTAAAGGAAAAATAAATCCCAGGTGGATTTCCGGAGGAGACCTGGTGGTTTCTGGCTTTCCCTCTCCAGCCGGCCCGGGGTTGAACTTTTGCATAATGTAAATGGGGCCCACTGTGGGACCACAGAGGCCCCCAGGCCAGCAATAACCTCTCCTGAGGCCTTGGGGCACCGCATGTTCTGCCGGAGGTCGTCGGCAGAGGGCGCCAGCCACCCCCGAGGCCGCTCCAGCAGGCCGCCCCTAGGGCCGCGGAGGGAGCGACGGGATCTCGCGAGATTCTCGCGCGGCGGACACAGAACGGAYGGCATGGCTGACTCGGTGCTGGAGTTGCGGCGCGGCCCCAGCCGCTCTACGTGGCTGCGGGTCCGCAAGGCCCGGCCCCAGCTCATCCTCAGCCGCCGGCCCCGCCGCCGGCTCTGGACCCTGCGCTGGAGCGGCCGGCGGCGCCTGCGACGACGCCTGCTGCAGGCCCACGCGGCGGGCGCGGACTGGCGCGAGGACTCCGGCCAGTGCTCGCGCGCGCCGGCGCCGCGGAGACCCAAGGCCGCGGACCCCGAGCCCGAGCCCGAGCCCGAGCCCGAGCCCGGCCCCGAGCCGGAACCGGCTGCATCCACGAAAGGCCCCCAGAACCCCCCCGCCTGGTCCGTGCGGCAGCTGGGCCCGGGCCGCGCGTTGATGCTGCTGCCCGCGGAGCAGGTGGGTGGCGCCTCCCTCCGGTGGCCCTGCGGCCGGGCGCCCGCGGGTGCCGGTGGGTCGTGCTCGATCGCGTTTGGCGCTCCCACCCGGTTCTGAGCGGTCACCGTCCTCTGCTGCACGTGCTTCCGCACCGAGGAGCAGGTGACCTCCCGGTATCGGGCAGGAGAGCTGCCGGTCCACTCAGACCCGGCACCGGCGGGAACGAGAAAGGCTTGGCAGGCGGTGGCCTGGTGAGGAGGGTACCTGGGTGCCTGGAGCGGGTGGAGGGCTGAGCGCCGCGCGGGCCCTCWGCTTCGCCTTGTGGAACTCCCAGGCTTTCTCTGGAGCCGCCGGGGAGCGTGACCTGAGGTTAAGACCGGGGGCGGGGGCGCAGCATCCCACCAAAGCAAGGAAATGAAGGCATTCTGTCCATCTACAACTGCAAATAATAGTAATAATAATAATACTAATAAGGCATGTGGGGGCACCTTGTACTGTGTGTTCTGTTGTGTAAAACATCAGCCGCCTTTTGATATGTAAATGGAAAGTTAAGATTTTAGAATTTCTCTATTATTAGTAAGAGGGTCTGTAATCATTTCCGCATTTTTTCCCTTCCCCATTAGACTTTTACTTTTAGCGGGATCTGCCGATTGACTTGCCTCTATGGCCAGGTGGAGGTGTTTGGTTTCCTCATCAGCCAAGGCCAGCCTGCCCAAGATATCTTCTCTACCTATACCCATGCCTACCTGAACATTAATGCAGTTCATTACTCCATGTCTGAGAAGAGAGAGAAGGAGATGAGAAAGGAAGCCCGGATTTTGCTCAGATCTCATCTTAACTTGGGTAATGAAAAGAACTGGGTAATTTACTGAGGGCCTACTATCATAAAGTTAACGATTTTTGCTGCTTACCTTGGTGTCCATATTGTGCTAAATACTTTTTTTAATCCCTCCCAAGGGTCCTAGGAGTTAGAAGAGGTAACTTTGTTATTTTTCACGATTTTTCAAATGATTATAATTGCCAAGGCCTGAARCCGGAATTCCAACTCTCAAAAAGTTTACAGTTTGAAGAGATGCTGCCTTATGAGCAGAGAATTTAGATGAATTGCTACTTCTACAGTGGTTTGCTTTTCTCTTTACAGAGGACAGATGTTGGGCAATGAAGAATTTTTCTCCTTTGTGTTCCATTGTGATGCTAGAACGTGTGAAGAACTCCACTGTAAACTTCCTAACCAGCTATCCAGGTTTATCTTACATTTTCACACAAGAGGTATAACCAGTTCATCCAGAGTTTTGTTAATTATTTGCACCGAAGTTGTCATATCAAATGACTATGTAGGATGCTCTCTTGGAAGATCTGTTCTGTTAGTGTGGTAGATCCTGCAGAATGTCATGTGTGCCAATAGTTAGAAAGTTGTCGGAATAGAAAGGGTTATCATGAGAAATGTCTCTCCTCCCTTCCTCAGTTYCATCATCCAGCAGAGGCCATCATTTCAAGTTGTAGTTGGTTAATGGTTACTTTCTCTAAACAATGCAAGAATGACTTAAATCATTTACACACCCATCTCTCCTTCTCATCTCTAAATTTTTGTTGGCTGTGTTATTAATCTTCTGAAGTTAAGTTCCATTACTATAAATGTCTCCCATGAGCCAGAAGTGAGTTTAATTTGTGAATTTTTTTTTTTTTTGCTGTACTGAGGTTGAACCCAAATCCTCTCATGTGCTAGGCATATGATCTACCACTGAACTACATCAGAGCCCATAGGATTAGTGGACAGACTGGATRTGAGTTGTAAGGAAGAATCACAGAGGCTGGAGTGTACCTCATTGGTCAAGCATGTCCTTGATATGCGTGAGAGCCTGAGTTTGATCTCTAGCACTGAAAACAAAACAGAAAAGAATAATGGAGTAGAACCAGGCTTGTTAGCCTCAGCATCTGGATATGTAGAGTTGCTTCCGACTGAGGCAGGCACTGTGGTGGCCAGCCAGGGCATGCTGGTTGGAGACACCTGTGAGGCGTCTAACTGGAAATGCCAACTGGGCAGTGGAGTATGTGAGCCAGAATTGAGGGAAGAGGTTGGACTGTAAATTTAGGACTGGACAGCAGAGGGGATTCAAAGGACTTTACTATAAAGAGAAGGGGGAGAGTGAAGCAGGGTAAGTATGATCAGGAAAGTTTTGTTCTTGGTGAGATGGAATTTAAATCAGGGTTGCTGAGGCAAGAGAGTCACTAGTTCAAGGCCATCTTGACCAATTTAGCAAGGCCTGATCTCATTTAATTAAGAAAAGGGGTAAAGATGAAGCTCAGAGGTAGAGGACTCTTGGATTCAATCACCAATACCACAAAAAACAACAAAAAAGATGAAAATTTAAAACTCCATGCTTGCACAGCAGGTGGGGATGATGGGGGCGGTGAGAGAGTAGCCAGAACTATCAGCCCCTCCGCCTCACTGGGAGGGTCTGGCTACCAGGCTCTTGGCCTGAGGAGGAACAGTCCWTTTGGAATAGGTGTCCAGGGAGGGCCAGGGGCAGTCAGAAGGCCACTGACWGGGCTGGGGATGTGGCTCAAGTGGTAGCGTGCTCGCCTGGCATGCGGGCGGCCCAGGTTCGATCCTCAGCACCACATTCCAACAAAGATGTTGTGTCCGCCGAAAAACTAAAATAAATAAATAAATTCTCTCCGACTCTCTCCATCTCCTCTTTCTTTAAAAAAAAAAAAAAAAAAAGAAGGCCACTGACAAATGTCTTCTCCCACAGTGGACATGGGACGAGGGTAGTCACTGGGTGGGGAGGTTTACATGGAGTGGGCAGTGCGGCCTTTCGTGATTGAGCTTTGATCCACTGTAGAATCCAGCAGCTTGGTGGAGCCTCAGGAAGATGTGTGTCCAAGCCTCTGCCACTGGGGAGTGACTGTTCCGAATCACCAGGATTGGGCAGTGGTTTTTCACTTATTTACAGCTCCCCACCCAGGACTTAACGTCCACTGTTGTTTTGTTGCTTATGCTCTTTTTTATTTCTCCCATACCCAGGTTGAACCCAGGGGTATATAACCACTGAGCATACATCCAGCCCTTTTTATATTTTAGGTAGAGATAGGGCCTTGCTAAATTGCTGAGGCTGGCTTTGAACTCAWGGTCCTCCTGCCTCAGCCTCCCCRTCCACTGATGTTATCACCAGCGTGTTTCACGGCTGTGGGCCTGTGTTGAATTTTTCCTATGACKATCATTTTTAGGTTTCCAGTCCTTTTGTATTCTAAGGAGCCTTCTGCAGAGATCCTGGCAGTTCTGGAGTTAGCATGTGCTGTGGGGCCATGGTGCCGACCACGGACTGCTTCAGGAGGGGTTGATGGGCTTGCCGGGGGTTGGATTTGGGGTGGTGAGAGAAAGGGAGGGACCAAACTTACCTTTCATATTTTACAACTGTGTTAGGGTTTCTAAATTTAGAAATGATGAAAAATGTACATAGTTTTCACTGTTTCTTAAAGTTTAAATTGTTATATTTCAGATTTCAACTTTCCAGATTAATGCTGAATATTTTGCCTTGAAATCTGTTGGCATCAGAAAAGAGAAAAAGAAAAGATCACTTAATTTAAGTGTGAGTGCCCTGTCAGCCCTGGAGGAGTTGGTCAGTGTTTCTTCTGGTGAGTATGTTTTGGTAAATTTGGGCGTTGTCCACTGAAGCTTCAGAGGACTCCTGCTTGTGATTAAAGGACTGAAGAAGACTACTAATTCCAGCCCTGTGTGTTTCACCTCCAGAAGAAGCAGATGGCTGCCCTATTGTTCTGGTCTGTGGCGCCCAGGACGTTGGAAAGTCAACATTTAACAGATACCTGATTAACCAGTTGTTAAATAGGTAAGAGTGCCTTTATTCTCTTGCTAGAGTTTAGGCAGGATTTTTTTTTTTTTAAGAGAGAGAGAATTTTTTAATTTTTTTTTTAATATTTATTGTTTAGTTTTCGGTGGACACAACATCTTTATTTTATTTGTATGTGGTGCTGAGGATCGAACCCAGCGCCGCACGCATGCCAGGCGAGCATGCTACCGCTTGAGCCACATCCCCAGCCTAGGCAGGATTTTTTATTGGAACAGTATGTCGGAACCTCGTCCTGCCTTCTCTATGGACATAGATTTGTACAAGGCTGTGCAGAGCTGCTTGCTGACAGTGATGCACTGGGAATGCAGTGACCTTGAGGCTGCAGGCTGGGCTCGGACTGCCYTAGGGCCTGTGGGTGACTGGTGAGGGCAGGCACTTGGTCTCTGGATGTTTGTGGTGCTGAGGTACAGATGCCRAGAGTCAGAGTGGGGATGAGTAGTTTTGAAGATGGAATCGTGAAGAGGCCAAGTCGCACATCTGCTGTGCAAGGTCACTATAGGCAGGCCTGCGCTTGGTGGTTGTCTCTTGGAGCATTCTGCCTGAAATTGCTGCATGGCGTGCATTACAACTGTGTCATGTGGAACTCTGACTATCTGATTTCTCCTTTCCACAGAKTAAAACTAGTTGAGATTTTCTTTCTTTTCCTTTTTAAACATTTTCAGTATTTCCTGCCTTGACTATCTGGAATGTGACCTGGGCCAGACCGAATTCACTCCTCCGGGTTGCATCTCTTTGCTTAATATTACGGAACCAGTTCTGGGTATGTATTATGTATTAATTATTATTATTATTATTATTATTATGTATTCTTCATTGTCTTGATTTCATAAAATTCAAAAATAATGATACCTGCCCAAAACTCAGTCTTACATATAGACTAGAGAAAGTGAGCGCATTCCACCAAACCCAGGTCTCTGCATAGCCACACCTCCAGCCTCCACACACCCACTAGGGTGAGTTTCTGTTTGGGAAGTGGAATTGCTCCTTATTTTGCTTTGTGTAAATTAATATCAGCACACCTGTCCTGATATTAATGTTTTATGGGACCTTCTACAACTCTCCAAACCAAGAAATGCACAGTGGTGCAGTGCAGATTTCAGTCAGAATTCACCAGTTACCTGGTTCAGAATCCAGTATGGAATTCCTTGTTGCTTTATTTTAATAAAATATACAAATGTGGGCTGGGGATGTGGCTCAAGCGGTAGCGAGCTCGCCTGGCATGCGTGCGGCCCGGGTTCGMTCCTCAGCACCACATACAAACAAAGATGTTGTGTCCGCCAAGAACTAAAAAATAATAAATATTAAAATTCTCTCTCTCACTCTCTCTCACAAAAAAAATATTTAAAAAAATATATATATACAAATGTGTTCATCATTTTAGCCATTTGTATGTATAATTCAGGGACATAAAGTCCATATACAATGTTTTGTGACCCTCAGCTCTGTGTATCAAACTTTTTAATTATTTCATGTGAAATGCTATACTCATTGAACAGAAATCCCCTCCTCCCTTGTCCCCTAGTTTCTGATAGGTTCCCTCTACTTCCTATGAATTCTCCTGTTGCAGACCCTGTATGAGTGGAGTCTTGCAGTGCCTATCCTGCTGTCGTCTGACTCTTTTTGCTCAGCATTGTGTTTGCAGGGTCCTTCCATGTTGGCGTGTGTATCAAAATTCAGCTCCTTTTTTACAACTGAATATTACTCCRTTCCACGTGTTTTTCTACTAGTTTTTCCATGCAGCCATTGGTGGACGCTTGGGTTGTTTCCATGCTTTGGCTGTTGTGGAGAGTGCCATTAGGAACATGCGGCACTGGTTCCCGTTCAAGGCTCTGCTTTCACTTTTTTGTGACTTTATATTTAACCTGTGTTTATTAGCAAATTGCGTATCATTTTGGGGGAGGTGGAGTACCAGGGATTGAASCTAGAGGCACTTTAGCATAGAGCCACATCCCCAGTCCCCTCCCCCYTTTTTAAGTTGTAGGTGGACACAATGCCTTTATTTTTATTTATTTATTTTTATGTGGTGCTGAGGATCAAACCCAGTGCCTTACCTGTGCTAGGCGAGCGTTTTACCACTGAGCCACAACCCCAGCCCCTTAAAAAAATAATATATATGTTATATAATTATATATATATATAATGTATATATATTTAGAAATAGAGGTAGGGTCTCAGTGAGGTGCTGAGGGATTGTTAATACTGACTTTGMACTTATGATCCTCCTGCCTCAGCCTCCCAAGCCACTGGGGTTACAAGTATGCGCCATTGCACCTGGCCTCCGCCCTTTTTGTTTTGAAACAGAGCCTCACTAAGTTGCTGAGGCTCTCCTCGAGTTGCATTCCTCTTGCCTCAGCCTCCAGAGTTACTG